CCACCTGCACGGCAGCTGCCCCGTGGTGTGTGGGTGCAGCGCAGCTTGGCCGGGTGTCGTGTGCTGTCTGGGAGCTGGGGCGGCTCCACCCGTCAGCCGGAGCTCCCGGTTTGATTCCGCAGCTCCAATCATTCCCCCAGCTCTTCAGGGGGGGTAGCCTGGATCTGTGCATGGGGTTTCAGCAGGCTGCTGCTGCCGGCTGGGGAAACAGCCCAGAACCACCGCCATCACCACCCGGCAGCAGCAGCAGCCTGCTGTCACCCTGCATCATCTGGCAGCCTGCACCCTGAGAGAAGAGCTGGGGGAAGTGATCAGAAAACTGGGGGAAAGATCGGGGACCTGGGGAATCAAACCTGGAACTGAGGGGATATTCAGCCCCGACTCGATTCCCCAGCTCCCTATTTGATTTGCTTGGGAGCTGGGGCAGCTCCCTATTTGATTTGCTTGGGAGCTGGGGCAGCTCCAACAGTCATCCAAAGCCCAGCAGCACATGGCTCCAGCTCCCAGACAGCACACAGTGCCCTGCCAAGCTGCACTGCACCTGTGCCATGGGGCAGCTACCACTTGAGTGCCAGGCAGGGAGGGCAATCCCTGCTGCCCCCCACTGTGCAGAAGCAGCTCTGTCACGAGTGCCCAGAAGGCCCCAATTGCCATTCCTGCAGCTGGTGGGTGTGGGGCTTTTTTTAGGGTTTTTTTTGTTTAAGTGCCAGGACTAGGATGGGGCAGGGCAAGGCAGCCATGGGAGCGGCTTCTGTGGCTCCCCGACCTGGGGAGAGACAGGCACAGCCAGAGGAGCCACGGGAGAACCTGCAGCTGCCCGGCTGTACCTGCCTCTCCCCAGCTGATCTGAATGATGAAATTAGTGCCGAATCTTCTGAAGCCAATTCGGCCAAATCAATTCAGGACAGTGATCCGGATTGAATCACTGTCCTCCGAAATGGAATACTTCCCTATTTGGACAGGCCTACTATCTGAATGGACGGGACGGAAGGACCAAATGGAAGCTGATCAACATGTACTTGTACAAAGATTCAAGGAGATGCACATTAACTTCTGAAGACCCACAGGTTGGCCACCCCTGCTCTAGGGTGAGAGCTAACCCAATTTGGCCCTGTTCTAGTCAGATAGATGCAAGCTGTCCTGGCTTCATTTGGGGTAAGAATGGGCACAGAAACAGTAACTTAGGGCAGCTGAAGCAAGCAAAGCTGTCCCCACTGAACTTCAAGCACATGAATAGTTCCTGCTCTTTTCATAAAGACTTGCCATCACTCCCTTCCACTCCTGGTTAAAAGTCTCCTTGTAACCCTGTCCCGGGCTAGTTTTTCCCAATTTGTGGTGTCAATGCCACAGTTCTTAATGTTTGCTTTAAGAGTATCCTTGAAGTGTTTCCTCTTGCCTGGTAAGGTGCTTTGTCCCTGGCTGAACTGAGAGTACAGCAGTTGTTTTGGTATACGTATTTCAGACATGCACACACAAGGCCCTGTCTACCACAAATGGTGTTGTATAATCAATGCTTCCACTCCGGTGGCGTTAGCGTGGGTGAGGACACTGGTATTTGTGCAATAATCTTTCTACTTTATGCTAAGAATCTTGTGGAGGTAGCACCGGTGATGGCGTTCCAGGCACGACACAGTAATTTTTAACATGCTAGGGAAAGGATCCTATTGTATTGTCTTTTCAGGCCATTGCTATTTCATTGATTCTTTTTATGTTTCTTGTCTGTATATTTTTCAGCTTGTAATTTACATTCACTGCTATTAAGGTCCCATTATTTCTATTCTCAACATGGTGATTTTCTCCGAAACATTTCATCATCTTTTTCTCATCTCTTAAATCAAGATGGACTTTTTGCCTGCCATAATTTTTTCTCTGTTTGTAACTTTTCGGGTGCCCAGCAGATGTTTTTGCACCTTCACTTGTTTCCCTCAGTTCTGCCAACAGTTGTTTTATGCTTAGATAAACAGTCTATTTTAAAAAATTGCCAACTATACAGCTAACTGGTTGACAACTATTCTATTTGCACAAAATAAAGGGAAACCTATTGTGTGGTTGGTACTTAGACAATAGCCAACTACTTTTTAGGTCAGTGGTTAACTCATCTCAGTTCTTAAAACATGATTGTATATTACAGCTTCCTTTCTCTTGTGCAGGGCTAGCTGTGACCAGGTGTCTTTGCAATAAACCCCTATGTTGTTTCCTGATAGAGACAGACATGTTCTAGCACTTAAATACAAGATGCAATCCTGGGATTAGACTATTTTTGCTTTCCTATCCATAAACAAACTTATCCTGTCAAATGGTACATAATGCTAAATGGATTTAAGAAGACCTCTGGATAACCATGCTTCCAGTCACAAGTGTGGTTTTTCTTTTCTTTTTTTTTTTTTTTTTTTAAATAGTTCACTTTAGTGGAAATTTCTGAATTCTGGAACAGAACTCATGATTCTGAATCTTTGATTTACATTTTTTAGCAGTGCATTAGGCTTAGGTACTCTACCTAACTTTTCTTCCTCTGCTCATAGTAAAGCAACCCAGGTACATTTCCAGTTAATTCCATGTTGCAAAAATTTGTATTTGTACAAACAAATAATGACTACCAGGTTAGATTTACAAGAGAATCATGTAAAAGCGTTGTCCACACCTTCACACCATTCTCCATCACTTATAAAACACTAAATAATTCCAAGTGTTTTGTTAGTTTCATAACATGTATATGAATGCACTGACTTTAAGAGCACCCTAAATTTTTACTACCTCAAAAAAACTAAAAAGTTCTCCCTTTAAGCCAACAAGCTTGTTACTAGAAAATGGTATCCTGTTAATAAAACCCCTACAGCAGTATATTAGGACGTAGAATTAGATACTGAACATTTTCAAAATTACACAATAATTCCCCTAAAACCTAGTATCTGGGGTACATCTTCATTGAACCTGGAAGAGCTGTAAGGGATAGCAGTCTTGTGAATTATGATATTCTGTGTGTAACCTGCCTTGTTCCAGAGCAAGCTGAATAAAATGATTTATACTCACCAATGACGTTTGATCCTCAAAAGGTCTGGTAATATTTTTTCTGAAAAAAAGAAGGGGGAGAAGAAAAAAAGGTTTTCTTCCTCCCTTGTGATTTCACACTAGCCACCACGATAATACTTGGGTTCCTGTTCTCTGCTGGGATGACTTTAGCTTTAGAAGTACAGTTCCATTTTAGATGCAAAACCAGCCATTCTGTTAGTTTTTCTTTAGTTTTTCCCCCAAGTCAAAAGTTCTTTGTCATTTCCTCTTGTTTTCCTCTTTATCTCAACACCTGAATCTCAAACCACCATGTAGGCAGTTCTCCAGAAAGAGATGCCTTTGCTTTTTCAGCCATGCTATGTTCAATATACTTAAATTTTCATGAGCTGTTGCACCAAGCTCCTTATCTTGTATAAACAGTTACAACATTTTTTCAAATTATATTTCATTATATATACTTTTTATTATAAACTGTATTTCCTACCAAGATGTTTTGCAACTTATCTTTAATAATGTTGAATTTTCAATTTGTTACGGATCTGCATCAAGTTGAATTCTGCACTATTTTGTGGGCTCTTTGTAGAGCCCAGGCTAAGTGTGCAGCTGATCAGTTGCATCCTGCTTTTCCCAAGTTTTTGATAAAGAGCACTGGACTCACCACAGAAGCTAACATATGCATGGTCCTTTTCAGTCCTTCACTATCACCCTCTGTATTATCATGCAGCCTGATCTTTTTAAATGTGGTTTGTTGGCTCATAAAATACCTCTCTCTCTCTGAATGTATCAAGCGCCATATTATCAAGCGATTTAAAAACATTACTTACTTTTTATATAGGACAGCAAAGGGCTTTTTCAGGGCATACTGTAAAATTAAAAAAAAAAAAATTTTGCAAGACAGAACTTTACAAGACAGCCTTTTAATGCAGGAATATAATAACCATTTTTTCCCTTAAATTCTACAAGAAAATGGCATCAAAAGAGAAGCGAATAGCTTCCAAATGAAACACAACAGTGCTCACAAAGAATGTAGCCCAGAAAGAAATCAGATGAGTAGCGAGGCCCACAAAAAGACAAGATAATGGAAACCAAGATTGGTGTCTCTAAGGGAGGTAGAGATAAGCTCCATCCGTGGGTACTGAAGGCACTGGCTGATGTCATTGCACAGCCACTGGCAAGAATATCTGAGCACTTGTGGCGCATGGGCTAGGTCCTGGAGGACTGGAAAAGGGCCAATGTGGTCCCTATTTTCAAGAAGGGGAGGAAGGAGGATCCAGGCAACTATAGGCCAGTCAGTCTCACCTCCAGCCTTGGCAAAGTCTTTGAAAAGATTATTAAGGCTCATATATGTGAGAGTCCAGCAGGAAAAATTATGCTGACGGGAAACCAGCATAGGTTCATAGCAGGTAGATCATGCCTGACTAATCTAGTCTCTTTTTATGACCAGGTTACAAAACACCTGGACACAGGAGTAGGAGTAGACACCGTTTACTTACACTTCAGGAAGGCCTTTGATACAGTATCCCACCCCATACTGGTGAACAAACTAAGAGGCTGCGACTTGGATGATTACACAGTCCGGTGGGCGGCAAATTTGCTAGAGGGTTGTATCCAGAGTGGTGGTGGATGGGTCGGTATCGATCTGGAAGGGCATGGGTAGCGGGTCCCGGAGGGCTCGGTCCTTGGACCGATACTTTTCAATGTCTTCATCAGTGACTTGGACAAGGGAGTGAAGTGTACTCTGTCCAAGTCTGCGGATGATACAAAACTGTGGGGAGAAGTAGACACACCGGAGGGCAGGGAACAACTACAGGCAGACCTGGACAGGTTGGACAAATGGGCACAAAACAATAGAATGCAATTTAACAAGGAGAAATGCAAAGTACTGCACCTAAGGAGGAAAGATGTCCAGCATACCTACTGCCTAGGAAATGACCTGCTCGGTAGCACGGAATTAGAAAGGGATCTGAGTCCTAGTGGACTCCAAGATGAACATGAGTCGGCAATGTGACAAAGTCATCAGCAAAGCAATCAGCAGATGCATGACAAACAGAGCCAAGGAGGTGATACTTCCCCTCTATCGGGCACTGGTCAGACCACAGTTGGAATACTGCGTCCAGTTTTGGGCATCACACTTCAAGAGGGATGTGAATAACCTGGAGGGTCCAGAGAAGGGCCACTCGTGTGGTTAAGGGCTTGTGGCCAAGCCCTACGCGGGGGGACTAGGGCCGCTGGACCTCTTAAGACTCTGCAAGAGAAGGTTGAGAGGCGACCTTGGGGCTGCCTATAAATTCATCATGGGGGCACAGAAGGGAATTGGTGAGGCTCTACTCACCAAGGCGCCCCTGGGGGTCACAAGAAATAATGGCCATAAGCTAACAGAGAACAGATTTAGACTGGATATTAGGAAGAACTTTTTCAGTTAGAGTGGCCAAAATCTGGAGTGGGCTCCCAAGGGAGGTAGTGCTCTCACCTACCCTGGGGGTCTTCAAGAGGAGGTTAGATAGGCATCTGGCTGGGGTCATTTGCAACTCTTTCCTGTCTATGCAGGGGGTCGGACTCGATGATCTATTGAGGTCCCTTCCGGCCCCAACTTCTAGGAATCTATGTATAGACATAAATAAGTGAAACACCAGAACCAAGAAACAGAACACCGCTACTTCTCATTCCAGCATTAAGAGATTCACCACTTTAAATTTTAAGGCTAACTGCACCAGGCTCTTAATGGGAGGTAGGGACAGGGGATGGAAATCTTTCTTGGGGGTTAGAGCGTGGGATTAAACTGGATTCTAACTATACAAAACAGCTGCAAACACAATGGAACCCTGATCAGTAAACTGACTCCTAAATCCCACTGCAATATGAACAATGATAGTAAACTCTGACAAACGGTATCATCTCTCTCTACACCTGTTTTCTGTCTGTTAAAGCAAAATAAAACCTGAGCCCACTATTCCTACAAATAGGTAGGAAAATAAAAGAACTTGGGAGGCCCCAAAATGAAAGGCATCATGGAAATGGAGAGTATTATTAAAACTCCAAAATAACAGTAAACATGTAGACAAAAGCAAATACATAAAATATTTATTGTAAGCCCAAATGATCCTAAAATAAGAGGCGAATACTTCTTTATATTACTGGAGGGTTGCAAGCCTACTCTAGTCCTTATATGTATTTACAGTACTTTTGGTGTTTGATAGTATTAACTCTGGCAGATTAAATGTGTTATCACCAAGGCAGACTTTATCAAAAAAATAATTATTTAAAAGGTTTCATTTAAAAACGCATATCTGTGACACGCATTAATTAAGACCAATTATATATATTTTAACCTGTTTGGTTGCTGGCTTTTAAAAGAAGCTTACAAGGCATTGTCTAACTACTGCAAAACACTTGCAAGTTAACCATTCATTCTCATGATATGCTATTTTCCACAGCAATGGTCAATTCTACTTCCCCTCCATCATGGACCCACATACATGGCTGCAGTTGACAAGCAATGTGATCTTGGCCCCTGTGGCAACCAGCACTCTAATAAGTACCAGACCTTACATAAATACCAATCCTGCTCCCTTTTGTGGTGGTGGAGACTGAGGGACTCTAGGAACAAACTCCCTCCATTTGCCTACTCTTGCACAGGAGGTGCTGCAGAAAGGGATCTCTTCCTTTCTCTTCTGGAGCTGCAAGAAGTTTTCCCACTGGGGAAAAGGAGTAGCCAACATAACTCTCACAAGCAGGATGCAAGGGGCAAAAAGAGCCCAGTGACTGTCAGGATAATCCCACTTCTACCTTTCCACCCTGTTTGAAATGGGTTGCTTCCTCTCTGCTCCTTCCTTCTCTCCAGCCCTGCAATGTCAAGCAAAGGGAAACAGGAAAGGGAGGTGGATGCATGACCCACCTCCCAAAAAATGGGAAAGGAGAATCAATGGGAGAACTGGGGGATGCATAACTGACAGGCTGGAGTACAGGTAGATATGGGCTTGAAAAGCAGAATATTAGTCCATTTGAAGCTGAAAGCTCCATACCAAATAGCTTTTATATAAAAATCTTTGCAATGCAATATAAATTCTGCAGTAGGGGCCAAAGATACCTTAATTCCTCTGATCTCGGCAGCTTGACAATACTAACTGTCATGCTAAAGATGGAGGTGGAATGGGAATATGAAAGAATGAGAAGACAGACCAAAAAAATAAAAAGGAAGAAAAGAGCTCTAGTTATTTGGGTTTTGACCCATGATTTAAAAAGTTTTACATTTGACCACACCAATCGTGCAACAGGTAACACACGAGTTACTGTTAAAAAATAAATAAAAAGCACAGAAAAATATTCTTGGTGCCCTGGAATAAGTTCTAGCTATACACTGTAAATATACATCCAACAGACATACTTACAATGTCTTTAAGCACTCCAGTCACAGTTAAGTTTGCATTTCCGCCTTTTATGAGCATGGCATTTTTCGTATTTTCAGTAAGCTTTGGCTCTCTCTTCTCAAGAAGTCGTTTTGCCCTTTTAGTTTTAGGCTTTCTGTGATGAGAAAATTAAAATATATTAGCCCATGTATGAAATGGGTGACAACCACCTGCAGTCATTAAATGGTAAAAAAGGAAAGAGAGAGAGAATACTGTAATCACATTCTGATTCTTTAAACTAATCTCAAAAGTCTATTCCAAACAAAACTGTTTTGTTTATTTAAAAAAAAAATCCACATGGTAAAGTCTTGTCCACACTTTTCTTAACTTGTGTCAATTAGTTTATGGGACAGCATTCTTTTCGCATCTCTGCAAAAGTGCATATGGCTTCTCCTCACTCAACAGACATGTATCATATTAAATGTTCTTATAAGCTGTTAAAAGAAAAAAATTCAACATCATGCCTAGAATATGTCTTGATAACAACCCACACGTATAAAGTAGGGGTGCACCGATAGAGATTTTTGGGGCCAACATCAATATCCAATTTTTAAAGAGGCATATCAGAAATCAGATGGGTACTGGTCGATACAGCATGAAGAGCTGCCTCCAGCTGGTAAGTCCACTGTGGTGGAGGAGGAGGGAAGATGCACGTGGGGTGGGGGGGACGGACACGACTGATCAATCCCCCATCCCCCCCCCCCAGTAAGGGAAGGGGTAGGCACTGGCCAGCCAAAGCAGGTGTGGGATGGACCCACAGCCTCCCACAGCTGCGCGAACCCTGGGAGGACCAGGGGGATGGGGCAGGCAGCACATGCCCCTGAATCTGCATGGGGCAGGGTAGATGGGCTGCAGCTGCAGGCTAAAGCCGGGGCTGCACCTTGGCTCTTCTTGCTGGGGGCTGGGCTCAGGGTGGGGGCTACAGTTGGGGCTGCAGCCACCCCAAATTTCACTGTAGCTCCCTCCCAGTGCCACTGCGCACTCCCAACTTTTCCTGGCACGTGGGTAGAGGCAGGGTGTTGAGCCGGGGCTGTTCCAGGAATGCAGTGACAGCCGTCCTGGGAGGGAGCTACGGTGAAATCTGGGGTGACTGCAGCTCCCTCTGTAGCCTCAACCTGAGCCCAGACCCTGGTGAGAAGAGCCCAGTGCAGCCCTGGCCTCACCCTTCACAGATCTGGGGGCACCCCCCTCCCCCCATGCTTTCCCGGGGTGCACGCAGCTGCAGGAGCCGCCCCCCCCAAACAAGCCGCAGATACGTTCCATGCCCTCCTCCACCACAGCTGGGCAGCACCTGCCCCTATCCCTGTCCCCTCCTTCACCATGTGGAGGGGTGGGGGGGTTGATCTGCACCCCCCACATCCCTTCCCTCCCCACTCCCCTTCCACCACAGACTTACCAGCTTGGGGCAGCTATCCACACTGCAAGGCTGTGCTCCTCGCTGCCTGAATGCTGTGCTGTGGCTGTACACACATACAGGCATTTATCAGCCAAATTACTGGCCCCAACAGGCCAGTTTCCGATACGGCCAAATTTTGTTTATACTGGTACCGATCTGATACCAGATGGATATATCAGTGCATCTCTAATATAAAGCATTTGTTATTTTACAAACACATGCTCTATACAAATACATAAAACAACAAAACTTTCCTAAAGCTTTCATTCCAAAGTTTAATGCTGGTTCCATTACCCTCATTTAGTGGACATTTGTCTTAGCCTTTTTTGTTGTTGTTTATTTGGAAGCATTCAGCCGAGTTTAGCTTTCAGTTGTTGGAGAATAACTGCTGATTTTTTCTTTTTAATATTTTTGGTTGGTTGGAGCCGACTGCATGAGTCAATACACACAACTCAGTACGAAACTTATTTAACTTGTAAAAGTATACATTGGTAATTTGTTCATACTGTATTTTTTCGGTATGATGAAGAGCAAAAGATATATATTGTCTCATTACATTTAAATTATGATTACAATTATTAAAATCGGCAAAATATGGAATGTTTATTCTTTGCACGGTAGTATATGCCTTCCTGTAACTTCACTTGGTTACTTTATTATAAATGAGTAAGATCATATAATAGATTGCATGTAATACATGTTTAATTTTAAGACAACACATGATGTACAGTTTCTAATGAAAGGTTTCTTGTATTTTTTTAATACATCATGAAGTAGCAGAGAAGTACCCAGCATAACTGTTGAGCCTGCAGCTGTGGTGCCCTGGACAGCTTTCTGAGACTACACTATTGCCTAATTTCCTTGTTTAAGGAAACTACAAGACCTTTCAAGTTTCTTTACAGAACCTGGTCTTGATGCCTTGACAGTAGTTTGAGGGACGCCTATGGGTTTTCCAGAAATGTAAAATGGTTGTAGCCCATCCAAGTGTGAAAAAGCAAAAAGAAAAATACAATTACTCCATCATCAGACTTCAAAGTAGCAAATAACATTCAAAGTTGCTGAAATTAACCAAAAAGTACTTTTGTTGCCTAACTCTATAACCACAGAGCAGCTCCTGAGAACTGGATAATATTCTCAAAAAGCCAGTGAGGCCACCACTGATGCATGCTCAACAGTTACGCTGGGCACTTCCCTGCTTCTTCATGACCCATTAAAAAAAATAGAAAAAACCTTTCATTAGAAACTGCCCATCAGACCTGGTCTTGAAGTAGGGTGAACAAAAAACAACCATGACCCTTTTACATAGATAAGGCAGACAGAGATGGAGGAGGACACCTAGGAGTGAGGAGGAGCCACCACCACTGCTAATGTCACTTTGAATGCTCACAGGCAGTAAACACTCTCTGCGGTTTCATTTCAGCCTATAGCCCACAGGCTTTGTACCGTCCTCCAGAGGGAATCTGAGCTTGCCCTACATTTAGAGACGGGCAACCCAACAGGTCAGGGGCGGCACAAGTATGAGTGCACAAGTGGCAAGAGCAGCCTGTGCAGCCGGCAGGCAGCACAGCAGCAGCTCGGGCAAGGAGCAGAAGCCGGAGCAACAGATTTGTTAGGGAGCGCGCAGCCGGGAGCAGAAAGGAGAGCAGCAACGAGGGCAGGGGTACAGAGCAAGGCGCAGGAAGCAGAGCAGCTGCAGCAGCTCGGCCGGCAGCAAGGCGGGACAGGGCTCTCGGAGGCAGGAAGCGCACACCCACACCCACGTCCCTCCGGACCCCGCAACTCCAATCCCGCACTCACAAGACGCGGTCCAGCGGCTCCATCTCGGTAGCCCCTGGCACGCGCGGCTCAAACCCACGTGGACACACCGCGCACAACCGGAAGTTCGCAGTCCCTTTTCACTCTGTAACGTCACATCCGCCTACCGGAGGCGATGGCGCCACTGCTCCCTCCCCGCGCTGTTTAGCAGCTTGGCCGCCAGCGCATGCTCAGTGACAACGCATGAGGGCGCTGCCCTGATCTGGGCATGAAGTGGGGAGGGGGAAGCGCCCGGTCTGCTCCTAGTTAGTGAATAGGTTGCTTTTCAGTACATGATCGTCATTACTACTATCGTTATTATTGTTAACGTTGTATTATTAAACTAATAAAAATGATGATAAGGATAATAATGACAATGTAATAAACCCTTTGCATCCTTTATTATCCTACCAAAAGTAGAGTGGAAGAAGCCGGTGGAACTTACCGCGCAAAACTAACCAGCGGAAATGAGGTTGAAGTTGGTTCCTTATTCCCAGTCCCTTTCTCAAACCTAATCTATACACACTAAAAACTTGTTATTCGTGAATTACACATTCTAAAGAGAGATAATTCCATCAGCTATGTATATTTTTTAATTAATATGTAAAATAATATCCTACATCAAATACAGAGCCCTAAATGAAGACCAAATTAGGATAGGATTATGGGGGAAACTACTTTTTGGGCCACCCCGGACTGCACGTTGCTGCTACTGGGGGACTGTCCCGAATAACCCTAAACACAATTGGAATAAGGAACCAACTTCAACCTCATCCAACAGAAGCCCTTTTGCACATGCATATCTTCATAGGCATGTTTATGCCCCATCAGGTTGTGCCTATTTGTGGGGGCACTGTGTTATTTTGGTTTTTTGCTAAAGATTAGCCAGAATACTTAGAGCCCAGTATAATTCTCTTCTTTCTCCAGCTGCATAGTGCATACAGAAATGCCTGTATGGAATCTGTGACCAAGTCACATACCCCTCTTACTGCTGTTAGGACCATGTCAAGCTAATACATATAGCTGCAATATATGGCTATTTTAAAAAATAGCAAAAATGTATTAACATTACTTCATTGTACATTTTACTTATGCTTTGATGAGGCATTTCTCCTTTTTAACATTGTATTGCCATGTTTATTACTACTATTTCAATACATAAACTGTCTAACCCTTTAATTTTGGTTTAATGTATTTTTCTATCAAATTAAGGAGCATTTATTTCCTACCTTTGTTATTTCCAAATGTTTAACTTTTGTTACATACCACATTTAAAAAAAAACTAGGTGAAGCTAATTATGTTTCATTTAACATTGTAGAATACTGCTACTTTCAAAATCATTACATGTACAAATAGCTGTTTAACAATACTTAATTTTAACAGTACCCGATCCAGATTGATTTCTGAACTCCATGTTGATATTGATCTGGGACAGAAGTTCCATAAACCGGTTTGGCCTAAATCAGTTAAGTCTGATGCTACATCCAACCAGGTTTATCTTAAACTAGTTTTGGTCATTTTGAAAGTGGTTTATGTGCACTGAACTTCTGTTCTGTTACAGGTTTAAACCAGTTTCTGATCACTTAAACCAGTTTACGTGTAACTTCTGTCCCTAGCGATTTTGTTTACTTGTCCTTCAATTCCCTTGAGCATAAGTAGTTCCCTACCCACACAGGTTGATTGCATTTCTTAAAGGATTGCTTTCTTAGGCTTTGATCCTACAAGTACTTGTACACAGATTTTCAAACTCAAAAGAATTATCATAATATAGCCTGACCTTCTCTATATCACAGACCAGAGAATGTCCCCTAATTAGTTTTGTATCAAGCCCATAATTTCCATTTGCACTACAGCATTTCTTGTTGACATATAACCTGGATTGCAGAACTCCACATGGTGCAGTATCTGTTGCATCTTAAGTAAATTGTCCCAGTAATTAATTACCTTCACTATTAAAAATTGCACTTTAATTCCTAATTTAGATGTGGCTAACTTTGGCTCCTGATCACTAGTCAAGTAATAAAACATATATGGAGAGTCCCAAAGGTATCTGTTTCCAGAAATCTCTTTCCTGTGCATGTTTTTGTAAAGCACAATTCAAACCAGCACTTAAAACGCTGTAAGGCTCTGTCACTACACTGAAACTAACTTAAAGGCTGTGTCCAGATGAGCATGGCCATGCAGTATAGTCAGTTATTCTCCACACTGCAAGGGAGAATTTGAGCCTTTGAGTCGGACCATAACCCTGCTGACTTATTGGGGGTCAAAGCTCAATTATACCAGCTATGGCACAGGTGTTCCTAAGGACTTTCATCTGAATACATCAGATGAAATTTCGATTTGGCATAGTGCTTTGCAAGTAAGTTTACATTCTCTTAGGGCTGCATTCACAGTTAGTGGAATAAAACTTCTCCCTTGCAATTCAACAGCGGACCTATGTCCAGAGACTGAAGGAAACTCAGAGAAGACAAACAAAAATCACTGAAAGGCCTAATTATTACTCTGAAGAATGGACAGTGTGGCCGAGATGAGGGAAACAATGCCCGTTTTGTTTCTCTCATCTCTAACAGATTCTGGATAGTATTTAAAGTGCTGGGGATGAATACTTACAACAGTTTGTAATTAAATGGATTACATAATAATAGGAATATATTTATTCCTATATCTATAGCATATTGTCTATGTTTTTACATACATCTTTGCCTACAAATGATAGGATCTGTAGCATGATCATCATAGTAAGAAATACTTAGAAAATTATATAGAGCCTGGGATTATATGAAAGCTTTGACTCTTCCTTTTTGCGTCATCAAAATACTTGCTAACAGACCATGAAAATGTGTTTCTACTCAATTTGTTAAAAGTTTTAGGGAAAACAAAAGATGAAGAGGTTGCTGTGCTAGTACATATTCTACTACTGAAATACTTTATATTAATACAAGCAGAAAGTTTAAGATATTTCAACCATGAGGTACGTCTCTCAGGAACAAGGTGAACTCTAATTTGCTTTGTGCTTTCCCTTGTAGCCAAAACTTTACTGTTAACTGTTTTCTATCTGAATTTGTCCTTGATTATTTCGTATACATCACTAGGTAAAATAACATGAAATGAACTAGATTGTGCTTTGTGGTCCTCACCCTGCAAGGACAGGATTGCGTAGCAAATACCAGACTTAACTGCTATAGCTACCACTGGGCCACTGGTGGAAAATTATCACCTGCTGTGGTAGTTGTAGACAATCCATTAGGCAGAGATGCAATCTTTGAAAAAATTATCAAGGCTCACATTTGCGAGAGCCCGGCAGGAAAAATTATGCTGAGGGGAAACCAGCACAGGTTCATAGCAGGTAGATCATGCCTGACTAATCTAGTCTCTTTTTATGACCAGGTTACAAAACGCCTGGACGCAGGAGTAGGGGTTGACGTCATATACTTAGATTTCAGAAAGGCCTTTGATACGGTATCCCACACCATACTGGTGAACAAGTTAAGAGGCTGTGACTTGGATGACTACACAGTCTGGTGGGTGGTGAATTGGCTAGAGGGTTGCACCCAGAGAGTCGTAGTGGATGGGTCGGTATCGACCTGGAAGGGTGTGAGCAGTGGGGTCCCGCAGGGCTCAGTCCTAGGACCGATACTCTTCAATGTCTTCATCAGTGACTTGGACGAGCGAGTGAAGTGTACTCTGTCCAAGTTTGCAGATGACACAAAACTGTGGGGAGAAGTAGACACGCCAGAGGGCAGGGAACAACTACAAGCAGACCTGGACAGGCTGGACAAATGGGCAGAAAACAACAGAATGCAATTCAACAAGGAGAAATGCAAAGTGCTGCACCTAGGGAGGAAAAACGTCCAGCATACCTACTGCCTAGGAAATGACCCGCTTGGTGGAACGGAAGTGGAAAGGGATCTTGGAGTCCTAGTGGACTCCAACATGAACATGAGTCGGCAGTGTGATGAAGCCATCAAAAAAGCTAATGGCACTTTATCATGCATCAGCAGATGCATGACGAACAGATCCAAGGAGGTGATACTTCCC